GATTTGTTTATTTCCCCAGAGGTCAACATCAGGTACAAGGGCCCTCCTTGTCTTAACAATAAAGTGATTTTAAACAGAACTTCACCCGCTTTAAACCACTATTTAAGTCCTTGAGCATGACCTAAAATGATTAGTAACACATGGCTTCACTTACATGACCAGGTTTAATTAACTGGCAGGGATGCACTCAGTGTCTAAAGCAAATGCTGATATTTAACACGTTTTTAAGAGAAAAAAAATAAGTATGGCCAAGAACTGTAGTTCAGTCTTAAAGAATCTTGGAAATCGGGCTCTTGAAATTAAGTCCACAGAGAATAAGGCGATCAAAGGCAGATGGGCTACAGGTTAAGTCAGGGGACAAATTCTGGGGGACCAAAGGCAGAGCTCCTGCAGAAGAGAGGCTGCCAGCACTGGTGAATGGAGGAAGAAATCCCAGCAGAGGACTAGCTCAGTGGGAAGTGAGGTGGTTTGTTCATCCACCGCTATCATCCATGACAGTCCGGAAATCCCTGCGTGGGAGACCGAAACCCCTGGTGCTTGCTGCCTGAATGTCACTAGACTATACGGGCTCGTCAGTGAAGTTATGCTGTTGTCCTGTTGCCGATTGCCTTGGTGCTTATGCGAATCCAAAGACAAAAAGCAGAGAAAGTAAAATGGTGTTTTTCTTTGTGACAGAGTGGAGGAACTGTGATTTGCATATTAATAAGGATTTGTATTGTTTATTAAGGGCTGTTTATCTGAAATGGGCTGCATGTTAAATTCGCTAAAATGGATAATCAAGAGATAAAGCTGGGCCTGAGAGAGAACTGAACCTTGGGGAGTTTCCTCAAAAGCAGCATTTCTTCTGGGGAATTTATCTGCATGTAAACTCATTAAGTATCTTGTGCTGAGATTCTGGATCTTGAAATCCAATTATCTGTATCAATGATATTCAGCCTTCAGGACCTGAAAAGCCACTTTCTCAGGAAACGGAGAAGCACAAACATACAAAATAACACAGCACAAATCAGAATAACATCTGATGATGCTTGAATTGTAAATTGCATGACCTGATACCGCACTGCAATCACTGGACAGCACATAAAGCAATATATTATCGCTCACTGGAACTTTATTGTGAAAAATTGGATCAAATATTTGGCAAATTGCATTGCCATCCCCTTTGCTCCTGAATGGAATGGGAAGAAGTTTCTTCTCAGCCTCAGGTCAGAAGTAACTATTAAGTCACCTGCTGTGTAACAGGACACAGACTGTACTTTTCTCCCCTTGTAGGCTGTGGGGTAGGAAGACAGTGATGTTGTCCTTCGTACTCTCCTTTCAGACCATTCCTTTTCTTTAGGAACAAGAAAATTGTATTTTTATTTCCAAGTGTTCTAAATAATTGTAGGAAAGTCTCAATCTAGTTTACTAAAATGCCTTCTATTGCTAATACTGAAATAAAATAAACTCTCTAATGGAATCGGCTAGAAAGGTATGTACTTAAGTTGGAATCCTTAGCCATAAATTCTGTAATGGAATGGTTTGGAACTGTTTTGGTCTGCTGATGTGGAAATTGTGAACTAAACAGGTAACTGGTTTACAGAAATTAAGCAATGCTCCCCACCCCTAAAAATAAAGGCCCAAGAGAAACGAGTGGTAAGGAATGAAAGAGTTAAGAGGAAGTATTAAGTCAAAGATCCTATCACCCAGGCATGTGTTCTTTGAATTTCTCTAGACTGGTCTTGGATTTTGTTCCTGTGGGTGAACCTCTTCTGTTCCTTCTTAAGTTACTTTCAAAAGTGAAGCACACAAAGTAGAAATGTTCTTTTCAAAATCAGAACTGAAATAAAACTGATTTCTACTTTAATCCCAAAAAATTTTGTTAAAAAGTTGGAAGTTACGGTTCCAAGACTACCTGTATTGAACGCTTCCTTCCATCTAGCTCTCTGTTAAGGCCTGAGTCTCCTCCCAGCTCCCTTTTCAAGAGGTGTATAATTTTGACTGTGTGCAACGAGCTGTCTCTCTTGTTCACTACGCATAATGCAAAGTTATTAAAACTTTGATTTGAAACCATATCAAATCCCTTTTTTATTTATTCATCATTTTTCTTAGAATCAGTTCCATAAAGTCCTTTTGTGTACAGCATAATCACAGTTCAGTCTTGTCTAAGGAATTCCCAGGCTGCCTTACCAATTGGGTCATTGTCCTGAAAACTGAAGTGCTTCAGTCCATATGAAACACACCTCCATTTTTAACATAGAAAAAACATTACCAAAAAAGAGAACACAAATATACTAACTGCCAAATCAAATCCTCACTGAAGCCTTAACCATGAGCAAAGAGTTTTTTTAAGGCATGAAAATTGCAATCTTTTCCTCAAAGGAGAATTTTGATTCAATCATTTTAGAAACCTCTCTAAACCACAACTAGAAGAAATCCTGTTCTTGTATCATGATAGAAGGCCGTCACTGGTTCATAGCAGCAGGATAATATTTGTGAGTGTGGTACAACACCTCATTACTGATATAGTATCTCCAAGGCCATTGGTGCCTCCAATATTTTATTAATAATCAGACATTTGCTTCATCCTGAGCTGGTACAAAAAATCAGTTGAATTCTTAGAATTGCTAAAGATAATATTAAATTTTCTGAAACTCCTGGCCCAATGACAACTTCCACGTAATTTTATTCTTGACTTTCATATTATGTCATACTGTAATGTATAAATAATGTGAAATATGTCAGCCTTTACATAAATAGCAGAATCAATACAACTCTTTTTCGAATAAAAATGAAAAACTTCAATGCATTTCTGTTTAAAAAGCAAAATGTACATATTACCCTGAACTTTGGGCCATAGTTGGAAGCATTACTGTCCTTCAGTAGGTAACAATACTTTTATCATTTCTGTGATGAAGCTTACATCAATTCTGATGTATGTGCACATGCACCACCAGAACCTCAATGGGAAGTACAGAGCAAATTCCTAACATCTCATGCAGTTTCCAGCAGAAATCTCATTTGTCAAGACAACAGCAGAAGATAAATCATTTTGGAATAACCTTTTGTTAGAGTCTCTGCTTGTTCTGATATTGTAAGTCACAATGCCTTTTCATCAGCATTGTTCTGTATTACAGATTGAATAAGAGAACTGCCTGCATAGAATAAGCCACAAAATCTTTAAAATACCCTTTTAAGCACCCCCACATAAGGGAAGCAACACAAAAACATTTTCAACTAATGACTATTTCCAAGAGTGCTCACAGGTTCAAGATGTTTTATTTATAAAATAATTTTAGAATTGAAAAATATCAACCCTCCAGCTGGATCAACAGAATTGATAACTTCGTTATTTGAGGATTGTCCCCAAACCTCCATGCTGGGAATACATTCTTTAGTGAAAGAAAAATCATTAAGCATAACCATTAGGATTAGTTTGTTTTTTGAAATGCTTTGAATGGCAATTTAGGAACCAAGTAGGTCTCAAGAATTTTTTTTGGTGCTGTACTCCAAAATTTGTCTGTACTCCTAATTTTTAGTAAGTATAATTATTTTAGTAAACATGAACAGAAAGAATGAATTAGCAGAAAATGATTTTAAGAACCACGCATGTAAAATGTCCCTAACTATGCTATTGATATGAGCATGACATTATTAAAAGTGAAACACGCTTGGGATCCAAATCTGCTTTCATTGTTTAGATTTGTTACCTTTCTGCATTTTTTCACTGACATATAACAGTTTCAGTTCTGCTTCTGAGCACTGGGTCAGCAAGCACAAATGCACATGCTTGAATGTTTTTCAAATTCATAGTCATAAATAATTTCTTGTGCATTATTTTGACTTACATTGAACATTAGCACAATACTTCAATATCTGAGTTGTGAAAACTTGTAGAAACATTTACTGAACTTAAGGTTTTCACTACAATAAAAACCTCGTGCAAATTTTAGCTCCTAACATAATTTGGATATAGTATAAAAAAGGGAGGCTATGATCACTTGTTAGCATCTCTCAGCAGTGTTTCTATATGTACACATCCCTCAGATGACAATCTCCACCCATTTGCAGAGCATAATTTTGTCAAGATTGTTTCTTGCCTCCACCTTTAATCTACATGGACGAGCCTAGGAGTCTAGGTGCCTGAGCCACAGGGATACACATTATCTAACCCAGAAGGACTCTGGTTTCGTACCTCAGTTTATTAAGATATACTTTCCAAATCTGGGTAAACAAGATAAAGTTTGGCCAGAAATAGAAGTTAATAAACTAGTCAGCTGTGGCAGTCACTTTCCGACAAGATATCATCATGCTGATTTTATATGAGCAATATAGTCTTTGCTAACCTATCATTTCCATCTGATCCAATATCCTTGGAGATTTACTTATGATCTATTAAAATAAATGTTGCCATTTTGTTTTCTAATTAATATATGTCAGGAGATGTCCAATTAAAAAAATCTTATTATGAGTGCCAATATGCTGTAGGTAACAAAGAAACTAGATCACTTTTTGAACGCATCTGTCTGCCTGTCCCATGCTGAGATATGTATCTCATAGTTCCTTTTATTTCATGACATAAAGAAGCTCATTCATCCCTTCCTGCCCCTGAACGTGATGGCACTGCAATGTTATCCTCATTTAAATGAATACAAGAAGGTCCTGGCCATCTTAAACAACACTTTTAGAATAGCAGCTTTAAAATGGCACTCAGAATGCACACCAAATTTAATTACAAAGGTGGAGTTTCTAAGTGAGATGCCATACTTCCAGACAGCAGAGTTTCAAGTAACAGTTAATATGAAAATACAAATACGTGCTAGACAACACCTAAAAATGTGTGGTTGCTTTCTCTCCAGCAGCGATGAAATTGTGTGATTTGCAAAGCGCTATGTTGTTGTTATTCTGCCTCAGAGCTGACTGAGATAAAAGAGTAAATGCCTTAGAAATCTAAAATATAGCAAACGTTTGTAAGTCTACTAACTTCTTGTTTTTATCCCAGAACATGATAGAACACATACCTTTCTTCCCCCCGTGTTAATGCGAAGCGGAGTTAAGAACGGGTCAAAAATCATATGGCTGGTTTCAATATTGACAGGTGACTGTCTTTTCCCAACAGAGCAAAGATTCCAAGCTGAGTTCACCAAACCCCAAAAGGAGGGAACTGCAAAATATAAAAAAGCGCAAGTTTAAACTAGAGAAATACATGCAAGGCAGATAGCCAGATAATTAAACTTATCATACTGTCTGTATACATACACTGAAACTGAAAACAGGCAAATTCATCTAGCATTTGAAATTTAAAACTTCATACACAAAGACCAAAATGTATTGTTTCATATATTTCTGTATCTAGAAAAAGGGTATTTTTTTTTTCTCTTTTGAAGATACCTTGATAAAATCCCAGGTTCAATTATAAATAGCTTCTTTGCTGTTAGTATTATAGAATATTTATCGAGCAATAGGAATGTGACTCGTTAGTCCTTATGCTAATTTTGCATACGTGCAATGTGTCCTTGGACTGAAACTGCTCCATTCTACTCCACTTTTAAAAAGTGTTCATATTTAGTAGAATTCTTTAAAAACCCCAGCATTATTATAAGAGAAGCTCACACATTGTGATCCCAGAGGACAGGCCTGCTCTCTAGGCAGGTTCTACTAATTTCTGTTCCATTTACCCAAACCCTTCTCTAGTGAAAGTTTTGATCTAGAAAAAATCTTGTTGGAAAAGCTATACTCTGATGGTGAAGAAGGATAGTTCCTTCCTTGTACGTGCAATGGCCTGGAACATGGAGGAATGCCTGATTTTTGACAAGCTGAGTTACTTTCAAAGATTCTGGGCCCCTAATTGGAAAAAGAAGAAAAATGTGATGTAACAATATACTGCTTCTCATCAGGTAACTGCAGGCTGAAGGTTCATATTGCATCTAGTCCGCAACTCATAGACAAGATCAACCTGAATTTCTCTTTGGATGCTGAAAAAATTTCTGACTAAATGAGTGAAGAGCAACTAACAAGATACACAAAGGACACATTTACATTTGTGTCTGCACACCTTCTCCCTGTCTAAAGTAGATAAGGCAACTTTGACTTCATCAGAACTACTCTGTAGTTTTTTTGTAGCAGGTGGAAATTTCACAGGTGAGAATGCTGATGCCTTTTTTGGCTTTATTTTTTCTTTTTACATTTTGTTAGAAGTTTTCATAACCTTTGAGCCTCAAAGCATTCTTCTAACCTACAAACTGTGTGTGACGAAGTCTACAAACTCAGACTGGGGGAAGGAGCATGTGGCTGAGGCCTTGGGGCAGGAGCACAGGTGTTTTGCCCAGAGGGTGGAGCTGGAAACAACCCGTCAGCTGCTTATAAAAAGCTTTTCAGGTGCTATAGCTAGCTGTATGCAGGATTTGTGGTGTGAATGCTTGCTTCTGCTTGCAGTTTTTGGCTATTCTAGTGGGAGCCAGGTAGAGTGTTGCTTGGATTTGAACCTCACACTTCTAGTAGACTTAACCCATTGGGAAGATTTTCCTTGGAGGGGAAAATATCTTCTGAGTAGCATGGCTTCAGGAAAATGGCTGATCTTGGTAAGTGTTTTCCTATTGCGGTTTATAGAACAACCTAGTTCTTTTTGCTCTCAAAGTTTGGGTGTACTTAGGTGTAAAATGTTGGTTGGGTTATATATAGCTTCATGTAACTTCTGCAAAAGTAGATAAACTTTAAGGTTCTTCTTAGGCTGTTGCTTGTGCAGCAAAACTTCAGCACGAGTATCTGCACAGAAGTGATGGGAAGTGTTTTGTAGTTGTTGAGCATCTGCCTATTCTAGTAGTTATAAGCTATCAGACACAGAGTTACTTTTATTACAAAAGATCTGAAAACCCAATTTTCAGCTGAAGCTTTTTCTTTCTTTGTGCTAGCCTGTCTGGGCATCTACAGGTGCTACTCATGCAGGTGAGCTCAGACAGCCCTGAAGAGGTCCAGCCATAATTGACACATTACCACTAGCAACGCTTAAAGTTTCCTTGCATACAGTTTTGAAGTGAACATGTGCTACTAATACCTTAAATTCACTGGTAAAATATGTTTTCTTAACACCTGACACTGACAATTGAATCAGCTCGCATGCAAAGCCCAAAATGGGTAACTATTCTTAATTTGTACTGCATGAAATCTATAAGGAGGGATGATAGTGTAATGTTCTATGGCTCTGGGAAAGCAAAGATCAGGGAATAGCACCCAAAACGGCTAGAATTGCAGATGTCCACACCAAATTATGTCAGTAATCTTTTACTCAAATAATAAACCCTGTGTGCACTCCCCCTCTAGGAGGTCAGATGGAAGGCCTTTAAAATAAGAGAAGCTTTGTATGATCAGAAAAATAAACAGGCAGTATGGTCTTAAAAATTTCTTTGGCTCCTCCGTTTACCAGTCATTCCCACTTCCGCTGGAGACTTACAAGACTATAGAAGCTCCCAGAGTATGCTAAATGATAGTGCTTATGCTTTGAAAAGGAATGAAATGAATGTAGTGCAATTAAAAATGAAAGAGAACACACTTAATTATTTGTGCTTTTTCTTAAGAGAAATACCATAGGATCTCACTTCAGGTTTTGTCAGGGAGAAAATCCCTCTTTATGCAGAGGCCTAAAATAAAAGTTTAGGTTAACTGAGATAGCCTGATTTCCCTTGATAAATCCCCCTGTGGTGTTATTTAAAAAAATAAATTATGAAACTGTAGAGCTGCAGGTTCAAGAGGGAGAATATTAAAAGGGAAATCTTGCCTGAATGGTTTCTAGTAGTATTAGAGAAATCTTCTGGGCAGAAATACTCTTGGTATTGGTAAAAACAATTCTTTAGCAAGCTTTTTAAAAATAAATAAACCAACTAGACATGGTAAACAGAATAAAATGGCAAGCCAAACAGAGCAGTCCATTATCTTCAAGTTCATATTACTTAAAGAATTTATGATGTAACTGGGATTGTCCCAGAAGAGCCGCACTGGAAAATAGCTGCTATGAGGGGATGTTTTATAATGTTATTTCTGTTTTTGACAGGGAAACCTTGCATTCTGTGCAATGCCTGTCACACCAGCCTATTACCTGCAAGTCAAGAAGGTGGAGCTCCAGTATTGTGGTGTTGCACTGCAAAGGTTAGACTTGTCACCGAGACACGTAAGTCTGTGTTGCAATCTTTGATTTCTTTCTAAATGCCTAGGCAGCTCATGCTTAAGAATCTCTCCAATACATGCTTGTTGCTAGCTGCTATGTATGGTTAGACAAAAAGAATGTTCAGCAATGATAAACTTACTCCAGTGATCAGAATGACTTTGCTTATGCTCCAACTGAAGGTCAATTAAGGATGACTGACCCAAGACTGCAGACCTAAGTTAACTACTGCATGGGGATATTATGTGATATTAATGTCTGATTACATTTAATTAAAGTAGTTAGAGCTGCTGCTTAGATGCTCAAAGTAATAGAAAAGTATTCAGAATCATAATGGAAAAATCCAGGGAGGCTTCACGTAGGAAACCAAGGCTTAAATTAAACACAAGTACAGAATTAATGGTTTAGTCTAAAGAAATTAGTGTACGAATCTAGGAAAACATGTCAAAAAATTCATTATTTTATTATTCCAGCTTAGCTAACAGACAAGGTTCTACTACGGGTTAAGTCATTAATGAAACAGTATCTCTTTCGCCACAACTATGTTGCATTTCCATAAAAATCTAGTCATGTAGGAGTGGGAATATGCTGCATCTTTGTGTGTGGACCTCTGAAGCATTTCAGACAGCAGCCTGGCTCTTGTGCCGTACAGGAGCTATTCTTACAAGCTAGTTTGCATGCAGCCCACATACTAGTTTACAATCTCATTTAACAAGGTTCTCTAGCTCCTGGTTATTTTACCAAAAGTTTCTGTATATTGATCGTGTCATCTCTGCCTTCATCTATAAATCCCCCTAAATTTATACTGCTTGAGAGCTGATTTGTTGCAAACGTTACCTAGACATAAGGTGGTAAGTTTTTGCCTATCAATGTCATGCCTTCAGCCTTCTCATAAGAGAAAGAAAATTGGATAAATTCAAAGTTTATTTCCTCTGTATGTTGGCCAACAATGGACAACGGACTTTTGTGTGTGTGATGGGGAGAAGGTGAGGGGGATTACTTATATTTTATACCTATGCAAAAAATCTGACATCCTTATTCAGTCTGTATCTTATTGCAGCTGCTCTTTTTTCAATTTACTGGGAACAATTTATATTGAGATATATGAAGATGCTCTAGTATCAGCATGACACAGTAGAATGAGGGATTCTGATGGCTTTTACCAAACCTATGCATAACAACAGTGAAATAATAGCGGCTAGAACAATAAAGTAGGGATTGAATGCTATTCTGCTAGTGATGAGTACCAAGGATTTGCCTAAATAAATACAAGCCTCCCCTCCCCAGAGAAAAGCAATGAGTGAACAGTGTCTGATAAGTATGCCCTTCTGGAGGTACAGCAAACTTGCAGATAAGCGTAATGGTACTGTCTACAGTGTGTGTTGATGGACATGTAACAGTCTGCATCCACACTGTGAAAGGAGGCAGTAGTTTTTCCAGTATAGAATCAAAGGTGCCTGCTGTGTATGATGTCTTAAATATTAAATGATCTTAGAAAAAAAAAATGATGCTACACTCAAAAGCCTAGGTCATGAAAGGGTTGTGGACAGTTGAACGGTGTCTCCTAATCACTTGCCTGGCTGTCGAGGGCTTATTTATAAAGAAGTTTCTCAGAGTTCTACCTCATGCTCTTTCTGTGTCTTGCTCTTAGGAAAGCCATAAAGAGTCTGTAGCGAGAATTGCTCTGAGGCACTTTCTGAAGAGTCCTCATGATGCACTGAGTGCAATAGTTGGGTCTAGCTGAGAAGAGAACAGATGCATCGCTTGGGGTGGGGTGAGATGGCTCTGCGCTTCCCAGCACACCCGGCTCTGGGGACAGAGCACTCCTGGGGGTTCATCTGGTAGCAAAGCTGCCCTGGGCTCTGTCTGCTACATTCAAGTCCTGGCTGCGTTCTCCATGCTGGAAGGACTGTGAAACAGCCATGTCTTTCACCTGAAAAAAGGCCATGCCCTACCTGGTGAAGCGTTACCCCATTAGCTCTCAACTTCACAATCTAGGGAGTCCT